TTTTGTAATTCATATGGTTTGCAGCCATTTTGCTTTTGCTAGTTCCCGTACACCTCTTCTTCTTGAGTTGTCGGCACCGCAGCTGATTAGTTCAGGAGGTCATGAGTGCTGTACAGTACCGCAAATGATCCCCAACCGCAAATGATCCCCAAAATGAACCGCAAATGATCCTCGACCGCAAGTGATCTAGCCTGCGTAGCATGGCAGTTTTGTCGAACCAGACGCACGAGCGGCGAAGCCGCGAGAAAAATTGTTCAAGTTACTCCCGCCCCAATCTCCTCGCGGTTTCTCTGCCCTCGCCCGCTTTTAATACTTAGCGCGCCCAACCAAAACCGCCATGCTACGCAGGCTACAAGTGATCCCCAAAGGCGACCACAAATGATGCCAAAAGAAAAATAGGAATGGTTTAGACTCGAGTTAGCGGATCATCGTGTCGATTTTATTATTATGACAAAAAGTAAGATTAAACGCTAAATTTTAGTTCTTAAATAAATACATGAATAAAAACTAAATGAAAAAAATCATTCAAGTGTAAAACGAAGTCGGTAGGCAACACACGACTTTTACCTCATGATGCCAAAATGCTGCTTGTTCCAATGAATTTTTTTCTCTGGCGGGTAGATTATGCCTCTGAAGGAAAACGTTTTGACTGAGTAAATGTGATTTTTGCCGCCTATTTCATACTGAGAGGTCATGACACGCATTTTCTGCGGTTATTGTTGTTTCTGGTCGGCATGAGTTGTCCTTTAATGCAAGAGCATTTCCTTTGACCTCTTTTGAAATGCAATGCTTTTCATTGCGACTAAATAAGGGTTTTAGGTTGTTTAATCTTCTTTAAAAAGCCTCATGGATTTGAATGATTATAAGCGATTTTCTTTTCGTCCGTGAATGTGACGGTTTCTTACTATGTTTTGTCACGCGATAACTACCGCTTGCCTCGCTTTTGCGTTTCTCATTACCAGGTTTAGATTCCTGGTAACCGTCTCCAGCCAAGGCACAACAAATGGATATACATATGAGCGTCAATATAACTATTCGCAACATGTTCATGAGCTGTATAAGCAAGTTGCTCTTTCGAAATACACCGAAACCTGTGGACATAATGGATAAGTTCGGGGGCATTTTGACGTGTGTTTATTTCAAATCATGTCTTGTTTCGCAACGGGCACTCCCAGGCCTGGGGCACTCCCAAGTTACGAACCAATGTCTTGCTGTTTATCACGTAAAATTAACACTTCAGAGAAAAATCAAACTAAATATTCTGAAAATTAATTCGACACTTCTAAAAAGATCAGTAAAGTCAATAAAGCTCTTGTTATGTAGAGGGTGCACGGCTTTGTATTCCTCAGTAGACAAGTTGAGCTTAGGCGTTAAAATGAATTAGAGTTTTTTCTGCGTAACGCCCTGCCTGTCTTAAATTTTCAGCGACGAAACAGTTCGTGAAAGAAAATTGAAGCAATTGACAAAGGAAGAAGTATACGGTTGATACCATATCCTTTTCAGATTTATTCTGCTTTTTTTTTTCGCCTTGTATAAATTAGGGGGTGGAAGCTGAATAGTTGGATCACGATTATTATTCATTATTCTTTGCTTTTTTCTCCAAATTATTCATTATTCATTTCAATTTTTTCCGTAATATTCATTATTCATTTTTTTAGTTTTTGTATCAGTTTTCTTTTCCCAAATTTTCTATACATTGTTTATCAAAAGTTTACATTTCAGTATACATTCAACCTTATCTTTAGCAAGTACCATTCTTTTTTTTTTCTATAAATGTGGTCAAAATAATGTTATCCTTTTCGACAAGAGACTATAAAGGGGACAGAGAGGCCATCCCCCATATACACCCTATTCCACAGGTAATTCGTCTCGAGTTATTAGAGAGATTAAGTTTCACGTTTACGCCAAACGGCAAACGTGAATTTGTACCACGTGACCAAGTTTTCCCCTTATTTTTCGTTTACTGTTTATTGCTTCTACACAAAAATAGGTAAATTTATGCCAGTTTTATCCAAAAGAATCGTTCTGGACTGTTTTTATCTGCTTATTTTCTATTTTGAGAAATTCTCAACTGACGTTTGCCGTTTGCCGTGTGCCGTAAACGTGAATCTTAATCTCTCTATTTTTAGCATCGGGATAAAGTTACCTCGCGCGAGGCGTGGATGTTTCGTGGAGGTTTCGCATGACCAAACGCCGTGCAAAACATGTCGGGCGAGAGGCAATGAAAGCGTAAAAAGATCGAGAGCATTCCTGAATATTGAAGCGAAATGAGTCGGCGCTCACCTGGGAAAAAGGAATCGCTGGACTCTTTGACAACCCTTGAAATCAGTTTAACTCGAAGTTGTCGTAACCTCAGTGCTTTAATAAAATGAGAAATTTCGCCGGTCTATTGAAACCGGTTGTTTGTACAATTTAGGGAGTTTAAGATCCAACGACGCGGACGACAACTAGAACGTCAAAAAAACAATAGGTTTAATTAGCAAAACAACAACTTCGCACG